GGATGAATATTATCTAACAGTATGTAAGAAGATTGAAGAGAAATGTCATAAATGAGTTCCCTTATTTGCAACAGATAGTAGTCACAATTGTCATAATTGCCAATTGAGTTCTTGCCCATTTTTTGATAATTTCTGCATTTTTGGATTCTGATAGCCGAATGAAAAATAATTGAGAGATCCGACAGATGGGTGGATGGGTACGGGATAAATGGGTGGACTGATGGGTAGATGGATAGATAGATAGATAATGAACATACAGGATATGAGCGAAATCAAAACACTTGTGTCAGACTCGGGCTGGGAACTGATTCTCTCTACACATAAATCAAACGTATTCGATGATCACTTTTGCAATTCATTCCTGTGTGCTATCTTCTAACAGAAAATAGTCCTTTCAAACCGTAAATGCTTTCATTTTGCTTTACTTTAAATGGACTGTCCAATCCGGTCAAGCACAATTCTTGTTTTATAGTACTGTGACGTGGCATTTTCTATTTGAAGTCTGGCTATTAGATTGAGCACAGTGAAAAAACCACCTTCATTTGCCATTTTGTGAAGCTATTCACAAGATCATCAACAGCTAATGCTATATCACTACGGCAAGTCCTGAAAAGTCCTGCTTGAAGATTTTTCAGTTCAGCTGCATTAAAATAAGAAATAGGCGGCATAGAGCCAATATGAACTGGCCGTATTTCTGTATATCACTAAGCAGTTACCCTTAACTCTACAAGTTTATCAAAATCCTTGGCATTTTTTTAAAGATGACTCTTACAGGATCCGCAAGAAGAACGTTTGATTTTGAGAAGCAACAACTGAGCCGACAATATCTTATTTTAGGAAAGAGATTAACGAGAGATAAATTAATTCACTGCTTTCAATATTTGTGCTGCAATTTGATTGTAAATTTTTGGCGGCTCGTCTCAAGGATCTACATTTTAACCTTCACTAAAAACAAATCGGAATGAATAATGTAAACCGATAAAGGTACGTAATTTAAAGCCTTATTAAGGCATTTGCTGAATTGTGAAGGAATTCATTAAGCATTAATCAAGCGCGCAATTGCCGGACAAACAAAAAATAGCTTAAAAGCCACCAAAAAGTGGGAGAATTTGGCGGAAGGCAGATAACCTACCAGGCTGGCGGAGGCGAATTTCTCGGCGTTGAAGTGGTTATCCCGTCATGGGACCGAGTGTTCCCCCAGCCATGGGATCACGTGACTTGGGCTGCACACGCCCAATTTCGACTACGATCTATGCAATGGGTAAACAGGTCCAGTATGATGAAAATTTTAGTGCTCCAATGTTGCCGCTAAAGTTAGGTAAATTAGACAATTGCGCACAAGTGACGGGGATGAAGTAGCATCGGGCGAGCAACTCGCGGTTATGGTAGTGACGTATTTTAGTAAATAAATTATTTGATCATAAATTCATGCTTTTTTCACACTTCTCCGAAAAACGATTACGGGTTTTGTTCGACAACAGGAAGCGATGGCAGTAAGTGTCGATTTTCACCAAATGAACTTGATATTGCGGCCACGAAGCGCCAAACGACTTGATGGATTAGTCCTTTAAAAAGGTAGTGGTTCAATGTGATCACTGTTGGAATAAATTCATTGGTCTAAGTTAGAATTAATTTGACGGCAACCTCGATGTCGATTCACCTCCACTAGGGTTATCACAGGGTGGTCTACCATAATCAAGCAGCATCTCGTGAAGAAGAACTTTTTTGCAATTACAGACAATTCAAGGTTGGACACTTTGTAGTTCAGCTGCCTTTCCACGCAGGGTCAAAGCAAGGACGGTTACCGTTTTCTAGCAAGTTATTGATAGTCCCCATTCTTCGGGTATTTTCCATCATTCCGTACACTCATTAAGCCTTGTAAGTCCAATCGACACAATTCCGCAGGCCCCTTTCAAAAACAACTTGTATATTACTAGGGAAATAGGTCCTCCAGAAAAACTCGATGATGCTACTCGAAAGCTGTGATGAAAATGGTGCAATATGCTTAAAAACAATTGTAACATGATTTTTGAAGTGTCTAGAATGTTCCAAATAACAAATACTTCACGAAGTCTGTCAAAATTTAGACTCCTTAAATCTGGTAACTCGTTCTTCTTAGTTTACAGATGCTATTCGATTAAATTATGAGGATCAAATTAAAATTCGAATTGGGTTTTTGTTACCCCAAAGACAGTACCGATAATGAACTAAAAAAATTATTTGCCTCAGGTGATGCCCACTGCTGGCACGTTCCTGTATGGAAACGACTGATAACCGGTTTGTATTCATTGCCACTTCATATAAGCCTTAAGTTATTCAAAGAACCTCGTTCCCTACTGACGACCAAATTGGGATAAAATTTTGAGAGTAAGGGAGCTTCAACGCTATTGGTTCATAGACTAGCTACATAATCATTCACTTTAGTAAAAGTGAAGTATGATTTCCTAAAAATAAGAGATTAGTTAGGTTTTGGACGAATGTACGGTAAGATATTCAGGTAATAAATTTGTAAGGCTTTTATGTGGGATTTGCATGGTTTAAAATTGTCCTGATCTGTAGTAACTTTAAACCGGGTGATGATGTACAAGCATTTGGTCATTAAGGTAGGCAGTGGGAAATTACTTACTCTACGCGATATATATTTTTCCAAAACAAGTGGTTAAAACGAATTTGGCTACTGATTGTTAAATTGCGCCGATGAGAAGTAAAGTGGGCAGGGCCTCCAAGGACAAAAATTAGCCTACCAGCATTATTGTTTCAACGCTGCGAGCAGTACATATCGGAGTCTTCCATCAGCCCTGCACCCGGGGCAATCGACAACAATCTTCATCTGTATTTCACCTGTTTGTGTTTCTCGTTTATCAGTGGGTAGAGTAGATGTGATTGCTTCAAGTTAGTTCAGTTCGATGCGGTAAGAGACCTACAGATGGAAATGTGTGTTATCTTGGTCATTCGGTGAGCCTGGTCGTGTTGCAGCCGCCAATTTGCAGCTATCAATATTAAACATATGCATCAACTGCCTTAGGGTAGACTAAGGTGAGTTTAAGTGAAGGCTGGGTAAGGGACATTGACAAATGGAGGTGTTTGTGCCATATGGAGGTGTTTGTGCCATATACCTTGTCGTCACGAATGACAAGAAAATCGCTAGTGTGATGAAAATATGTTAGAAGTGGGAAAGATAGTTTTAAGGGCTGAGTAATCATGTTAAAACTAGAGATTTCTAGCATGCTTTTAAGCTTACCCAAAAATTATGTCCAAAAAGCATCGTATATTTGGAGAAGATCGAAACCAACCTATTTTTGGAATAATGCCGCATCTCGTCTGCCTGTTACATCCAGGAGCTCTCTTGCGCACTTCAGACATCTGCGCCCTCTATTATATCCACATGCATCTGATTTATTATTGCTATCAATTGGTACCCTGAAACGTGTGCTAACCTTCTAGCAGAGGCAGGCATTAATATGATTTCCAACTTTCACAAATCCACGTACATACTGGTTAAGTAAGCTGCTCCAACTGCCCTCAGTCAAGTGAGTTCCCTTGCGAACTCAATGCTATTTTTTCAAGACAGGTTTTCACATACACCGAATCTCCATTTTATTAAACCGAGTGAACCTTTGCTTCATTTCGAAAAAAATTCCTCTCTGAGGTCACCCGTAGAGCTCATTTATCATGGTATCAAGGTTTACCGTAAGAAGTGCAGCTACTTAGTGAGAAGGAAGTTTCCCTCCAAGGTAATGAGCAGAATCTATGGGACAATTGTGGAAAATTTCCCTACCTTGAAAGGACTTAAATAGATTTTGGTGGAGTCATATTCCCGATCGTTAAACATAGCAGTAGCATTGGTCATTTTGAAAATGGTATGTCATCAGCAGTCTGGTATAGTTGGGACGATTGCTATTTCATAATTTAGATATTTACTCAAGTAGAATAATTTGATCACCGTGTATGAGAAAAGGATTGGGTTCGCATTCTCCGAGGTTGGTTCTCTACGGCGAAATCACCGCCTACACTAGAGTTGAATACTTTTTTGATTTACTAAGCAAAGCATTCGCATATTTTATAAGTCCAGATTTCGTAGTTTAGATGTCCTAGTAGCTCTTCTCAAAATATTTATACAGTTTTAAGTTGTTCAAGAGAAACTTTTCAATTATGGCCTAGTTCATGCCTTTTGTTTTTTAGTTTCTATCAGAGCCGACGCAGGTCCTTGCGTTCAGACAAACCATTGGAGGATTTTGCCTCACGCCTTGCTCAGTCTTAAATGTCTATGTGTACCACTTCTCCGCGATTCTGAAAAAAATGCCTTTGTTTATGAGATTTGCCCATGTAATAAGCGGAAGGAAGACAAAAACTGGCTTTACGGCGCCATGAATCAGACAGAATGTATGTGACGTCTTCCTTTGCGGCGAGAACTCACACACATCACTCACTGCTGGAATTAATGATAAGTACTATGGAATTATTTGTAACACGATAACAGGAGCTTCAAAGATTGAAATTTGCCTTTTGGGGATTGAGTCACACGCATCACCCGAAATTTTTCTTGGTTCAATTTTAATGTGCACATTTTGAACTTAAACTTACCAATGTGTGGTGAACATTCTCATACATCTAGCGCTCCCACACTGCGCCACACCGCACCTCTCAGTGAACGCCTGAGCTAAAATGCTGGCGCAAGTCGTCACGACCAATGGTAGGGGCAAGCAACGCCCGTCTTCCATCTGAGCCAATCCGGCGGTCTCCTCTTGGTGCGGTCGTGTCATGCGTGTGTATGCTTTTCAAGCATTATTTTCTACCGTCATGGGCGCTTTTCTCCGTATAATGATTAAGCGTTGTTCTTCATAATGCTAACTGATAACAATTCTCACATGAGCGTGCCTCTAAATAATATCTACCCGGTGCAACAGAAAATGATGCATCCAGAGGTTACCGCCAACGACGAGGACGGAGTCGATTCTGCTGACGCTGGCCTACGTGAAAACAGCCTCATTCTCTTGGACACCATCACTGAGGAAGAGGAAGAAGATCCGTCTTCGGGGTCTTTTGATACCTGCGAAAATATCACCGTGCAGCATCATTGTTTGCCAGTCGAACAACCCAACTCTGAAACAGACTTGCTTGAAGCGCGCTACCTCACAAGGGCTTCACATGGCATGGAATGGTACGTTGGTGAAACAAATTTAGACTACAATGAGCTGCATAGTAGCTCAACAACCTGTGTGAATCTGAGTAGGCCCTCTGCTCCTTCACAGGTCATAACAGGCCTCTTCTTTCCACTGAAGTTGGCAGAGATTGGATTCTGTGAGACGCAATTGCCGTTCGAAACTTATAAATATTCCTCTTATTCCTTTTACATAAATATGAGCAGGAGGGGATCTAAAAGTCTGCCATCAGTAGCTCTACCATCCGATGCTCGTCCACTACGGCGAATTATGTCGTCGAGCATTAGTTGTGGGATTGATGAAAGCTGCAGCTTGACCAACTCCAAAGCGCCGTCACCGACTCGGACCCAATTAAACGATGTCGTCGAATGGGCTCTCTCGTCGCCGGGAGTAACTACGATAACGGAAAATCAGTGTGCTAGTTTGAACCCTCATGGAGTGCCCTCCCCACTTGCTGCAGCGGTTACTTGTTCCATGGACACCAAAAGTGGTAATGGCTATATGTGTGACAGGGAAATACTGGAGATAGAGATTGCAAAGAGCAAAATGAAACGCTCACCTGCAGTGGAAGGTGTTAGTGTGCTGCTTCAGCGACCCTGCACTCCTCTGAATGATTTACCGTCAGATCTGATTGAACCACTGAGCAATGGGAGTCCCGTGGATGCAGAATCGATTTCAACTTCGGAGAGCTTAACTTCATCTCTGTTAAGTCTCAGTCGGCAAGACTCGGATAGCTCAACGATGGTATCACGACCGGTATATGACTATGGTACAGATGAGACGTTGCTAGAAATATTTATGACCCCTGCTCTAGATGGGAAGGAAAGTAGTGGAGATAGGCCGGCTGACATGCCTCTGAGCTGTACTGGGTCCACACACCAGCTCCCGAAACAAATCCTAAAATCATTACCATTCGGCAATTCGGGCACGGGTCTTGTTTGGCGTGATACGTGTGAGAAAATTTCCAATGTCGACAATCAGAGCGGACTGTTGGAGGATGACTCAGATTTACCCTTTATTGACAACGAGGAGTGGTATTCTGAGGCTTGGTACATTACGGCAAGCCAGCAGTTCTCCTGGCTTGACAGGGCACAATTGGCGGATTTCGATGAGATAACTTTATACTATGGTAAGCTCACAATAATTGAGTATGTTTGAATTAAATATGGGTAAAAAATTAACCACGAGAAATTGTGAACTAAAAACGAGTTTATTAACTCATTGCGAAAATGCGAATCTTGAATGAACACTTCTTCGGGACTTAAATTTGTAGTTGTTCTAAATAAGCAAGTATAAAGCACAAAATAATGTCGGACATTTCTGGCACTCGCAATTCATCTCACATTTCACGACCCTATCATAAACTAAGGCGGTTGAGAATGTCTGGCAGCACTTTTTATGTCGAATTGATACACCAGCGCGGCTTTGTGCGAAGGGGCTATGCAGACCTGCCTATTGAGGAAAATCGCTCAAGCGCAAAAGTTAACATGGTCACTTAAATAGAGCAGTAGCGATTTGGTCACATTCCAAAAGTTAGCGGAAACTTTCCGACTTGGCTTGAAGTATCTGCTTTGAGTTCAGGAAGTTTAGTTTAATTAACGTATTTGCTGAAGTGCATGTTTGACAATGCACAAAATGAGCAGTAAAAGGGGATCCCCTTCTATGGTCGGTGAGAATTAAAACACTTGGATTAGTTGCATTTTGAAATCGCTTACTTGCAGTGATCTTTAGTAAAGCTTGCGCAAATCCCAGTTTGTTTTATATTTCATACAATGGAACCCGATCAATTTTAGAGGAGCCACTTCATGTACAAATACATTGCCATCCATTCACCTTTTGCCTTATTAAACAAGTAATTTGGGCGCTCGGTGATACTACTTAATCTTGGAGGCTTTTCAAAATTTTGTCATGCTATGTGGTCCTCTTGAATACACTTTATAGCTAATTAATTTGAAACAGGAATTTTAATACACAACTGCCCATTTTAGAATTAAAAGAGAATTTCTTACAACGCAAGATTTCCATTCTTAATTTATATTGCCAAAATCTATAGGATCTTCTACCAAGAGACTCTGGATTATTAAATAATTTTGCAAGTGTCCACAAAAACTGGAGTAAGGTTTAATGACGTACTAGTGCTCCAAATTACAGCGCTTCAAAAGATGGGTGTTTCCAAATGGCTTGCACAAGGAGCTGTTCCAAAGTTGACAGCATGTTCGAGAGGTCTTACGCACCAGTGGGAAAACACTGGCATCGACAATAAATTCCTACGTATTTGAGGCGCCCCCCAGATTTTTGTTATCCTTGTGGCAGCGGTAGGCTTTGGCATTAACCCCACTGGTTCTAACAGTCAGGTGGTTCACCCATCAAAATCACTGGTCTTTCATAAGCGTTTTTCATCTTTAACTTTTCCTGGGCTCCCAACTTTGTGATAAGATAGAACTTGAACATGACGCACAGGTTTAGACCATGAAAGTATAGATTTCTGAGTTTTAATACAGGAAGTAAACTTAGTGGCTACTGAATTTTTGCAAATAAATTAATTGTTTACTTAAAACTGGGGCTATTCTTAACCAATCTGCCAAGCGTAAATGGTCTAACAATGGAACTTCCCTAGTTGTGAGGCGAAATGCTGAGGAATCGAGTATCGAACGCCGAAGGTTTTGTAACCTATTAATTTGTCAAATGTCCACTTAATTTTTCCTCTATGAAGCGTTAAACTAAATGAGGAAACAAGTGTGTAGGATTAAAAACTACGCATAAAACTAGTGGCTGGCAAATTAGTCCCTATCCGTTGGCTAAGCAAAGTAATCCCCCTATAATCCTCCAATTCCTACTTCTACCTGCTGCAGCCATAATAGCTGACCACTCAAAAATTGGACACTGCTCTGCTTTTTATCCCTAGCCACGCCCTAGTTCACAAGCAACGATTGAAGTTTATTACTCCCGAGTGCCCGTTGCATTCGAAAACGCACAGCTAGTGTAAGCACAATGGAAGAAAAGGCCTAGAGGTTATTTAGCCACTGCTGTCTGCAAAGACTCGTGACTAAGCCGCTCTGCGGCTACACTGCGAAGATAGCGTTTGCGACTATGCTGTGATGACTAAGTGCGTTGGAGTTGAGGTGGACAAGTGGAACTGGGTGTTGTCTCTGAATCCGTAGCAGGAAGGAAAAAGAGATTGTTTTTAACAAGTCAATTTGAGTCCATTTGTTGGGATTGGAGAAAAGTGCGCTTTAGGGAGGAATAACTACCGAGCATATTTTACACAAGAAGTTCACAACATTGGGAGGCGCCTAAATTAGATTCAAGGGGGCGCCTTATTGGATTATGCTCATTCCCCTTCGGTACGACTACTATCAAGCAAAAGTAAATTTACAGTGTCAGAAATGCCTTTCAGAATTTCTCACAACGATAAAACGTGTATGCTAAACATGATTGTCATTGAGTGGGCGGTCCACCTGTGTTTCTCCTTATTTAAGGGGAATCGAAGTTAGATAGACTACATGCAAAGCAGAGAACGCTCCTTACTCGAATTTATTTATTAAGCAGTACTGGTTGCAAGATCACTATGATGTAGTGCACATGAAATTGCAATCTAATTTGTGATTTTCCCCAGAAAATTACAAGGTCCCCTTCTCTCGACATTGATACCAAGAGGTAAGCATTGCAGCTTCTACGATTACGGGACTGATAACGAGGAACATTATTTATAGGTTGTAAAGATAGTCTCGTTCTGCTAACCTTGCCAATGCCTAAATGCCCAGATACGAAGACTGTTGTCAAGACCGCTCTTTTAGCAGGAGTGCGATACACGTAATATGCTAATGCTACTGCCATTGTCTTATGCTAATTTTGCACTTTGTATTCGTTATTGTGACGGTTTGTCGCAGTCTTCTGAATTCCATCGACAGGCTTCGTTTATTGTAATTATTATCAAAGTGTACCAGGTCTGGTAAAGCCCAACCCCCAGTTACACATACCTATTAAAATTCACTTATTATTTTCAAATTATCCCTCTTCCTTTCATGTTAATTTCCCCAATTTTTTTCTCATGGCCTTAAGTAGCCTTTGGAAAAATCCTTTTGCCCTTGTGTTGAAACCCCCTAATTAATACAAAATATGGAGTAAGTTGCAGCATTAATGGTATAGAAAAGAGAATGGGATTGCAAAGATCCATGGCAGAAGTGACGTGCCGCTTAGTTGCATAGAAGTGACAACTCCGCTACCCTGAACAACGAGTATTGCATTTAGCGTCTCTGGCAGGTAAAATAGAAAAACGCAAGGTCCTTATTTACTGGATGGCCTTTGAAGACCAAAGACGATATTACCGCAGCAAATTGTTTCTACTTATGAAGAGTTTTTTTACCTATTTAAACTATTAATGGCAGACGGATTGTCATTGGGTGCCGATAGGAACCAAAATAATCTTTTCAAAACTCACGAAAGCGAGATCTTGCACCCATGTGCTTCAAAAGAAAAAATTCCGTGATTAGAATTTTACGCGAAATCACGTAACTTAATTGAAGAATACCCTTCAGCTATTGAATCAACTTTTATCTGACGCAACTATTGATAGAGTGAGGGCACTTTTAGTGGGAAAAGGAGATACACTTGATGTAAATGACTTTTTTACAATATCAAGTCACTCCCAGTAACTTTTGCTCATTAAAATCTTGTCTTTAACGCTTGACATGGCGCCAGTTCATAGCTGTTAAAAGGACACAAGTGTTTCCTTGGGGTCACAGCAGCTGACCGAGGCACAGGATTCGACAGAGGCCGCAACTGTTGGCGTGCATCACGATTAATATGATCAGCCATTAATTAAGATAAATTTAGTATTTATTAAAAGGAACATAATCTGAGTATGAAACGAATAAATTAAGTAAAAATAAGTACATATTTAACCTTTAATGCAGGGAAACTGCATTGACTGTGAGTTTTAGTAAAGGAGAGGCAAAGCGAACACAACTAAGCTTGGCCAATTGCAGATTTGCAAATATAATTATTTTTTCTAAACTTTACGTTCGGATCGTTATGGCCGTTTGGGTGCTCTCAAGACTAGTTCCGACAATCCGTTATGCTCGGATTGGCATTCAAAACATAGTGCAAGGGACTGTTTACCATCTATAATGACTTGAAAATCAAAAGTTCTGCTGTTTCACAGTAGATTTGACTAAGTGCTCGATTTTATTTGCATTGTGAAAAGCATTAAAAACCAAATTGAGTAAGTAATTAGGCAGTCCATAAGTTTGCAACAGCACACTAATATAAAGAATTAAATCAATGGCCTTTCTTTTTTATCAGGAAAGTCACAAGAACAGTTGAACAAAGAGGAGGAAAGAAAACATTTTTACCATTCAACCAAGCTCCTATTCCCTCAAAAACATAATCAGAAGAATCTCTCCGCACCCAAAAGAATCCGAAGATTCCGCAAGTCGAAGAGTGAAAATAGGCGGTGGACACCTTGGATTCGTCTGCTTTGTGGATGCGTTTCAAGGAATCACGGAATCGTCTAGTTCCCTGCACCCGCATATAACCCACGAGTCTTTCAAAACTGCTCCACAAGGGTGTATTAGCGCATATACTATGCCTTCAATTAATCAAATCTTTCGCATTTTGGCCAGTAACCTCCTTTTGTGAAGCGAATTCCTCGAATTTCGTCTCTTTTATAGGATTTCAGCATTTCCATTTTTTCGACTATGCCGGCCACAAAAGGAGGAACCCACTCTTCCCTTTTATGCACAGGCTGTGATCGTATGCTGTATGCCCTGTCAAGTTCTCTTGTTTTCTAAAGCATTTGAAATAGAATCTGTCCATTTTCAATCCTAGGAGGGGTAAAGAAAACTTATTTATGCTAGCATTGATCGCAAAAGCTCTTAGATGAGGCCAAACATTAGATATATGTAGTTGCGCATGTGGATAGCAACCATTACGCAATTTACTCAATAGTGTATAGAGAGAGCATTTTTCATACTCATACTTTTCTGCTTACCACTTTGTTATTTGCTTTGTGCATGTGCTTTATAATGGCGGCTTACCTAGCGTCTGATCGAGGAAATCCCGATGCCTCATAATTTAATCTGCAAATACAATAACGCACATACAATCCACGGAATGCTAAAGGAAACTTTCTCAAATGTTGTCCGCTGAGGAATAAC